TCTTTCGGTGGCCGGCAATGGGTTTCTTGATAATATCGGATAATAGTCAACACGTTACGTTTTTGTATGATGACTGTACTAGAGCATCTATAAACTACGCTTCCCTCTAAATGCCTCCAAGCTCAACTGGGTACGACAGCCCCACGTTGGGTTGACCCTGCTCAGAGGGTGTGCCAAAATCATGAGTACAGCGTGCGTATAACTGCGTAACGGTACGTCCCCAAACTGAGCACACTGGGGCTCTTCCACGCAATATCTAGCCGCAGTACCACGTAACTGGAAGCTCACAGCTCAATGTTTCAATAAGTTTGAAATGAACACTGATGAAAAGTGGAGATAAAAGGTTACTGACACCATAATAACAGTAATCAAATGCAGAAACTCGCTCTCTTTTTCCCGACTTTCGTATCCTCAAAATGGAAAATATGATGCAAAAACCCAGCTGGACGCTCTAGAGACTTCGCCTTTGTTGTGGATATATCGCCACTCAAGTGCTGTGTCGAGAACTTTCAAAAGCAAAGCACTCAGAAGAGAAAAAACTTAAAAGGATCTTCTAGAATTCACTGCTTTCGGAGAGTTGTAACATGGAAGCTGTCTGTTGAGTTGCTCAGTTCCTGAATGGCACACCATGGAGGAAGCGCAAAGAAAAATTTCAAGCAACTTTGATTTCTTAAAGAAGGTAGAGCAGAAAGCCTGGAAACATTTTGACACGCTCCGGTTGGGTGCCACCGCACACACCATCTTTCTTCATCTAAAGGCTCGTTCCAAATTTTTGTTCAATTAGTGAACATGTCTGCGAAATCTGCTGTGTAGATTTTAAGATTTTCATATGTGATATTGTTAAGATCTTGACTTATACTAATGTTATTTATAGACCAATATGTTTAATTGTTCTGGTTCTGTTTTGTATTACATTGACACAATTAACGTGTGCTAGAGGTTTTATGCTACTTTTGATTGGCCACCAGTAATTATATCTGAACTTATAGGATTTTTTATGTAGCTTAGGTAACGCATATATAATAGGCAGATCCGCATCTGCAACATGTATTAATGTTGTTCTAACACAGAGGAACTTGTGTTTCAGTATCAACGAATATTGTTATCGCATTGTGCTGGTTCATAAGTATTGTTAGTGTTTTTCATTGATTATAGATGTGGCTGATATCATAGATGATGCCCATCTTCCTTCATTATATTGACAGTAGTATTTTTTCAAATATTCTATAATTATCGTTTAGTCGTTATCAACGGGGACAAAGAGCTAACTGTTTTGATAGCGTTTGAATAAAGATACGTATGTGTCCCTTTATTTTCGATTTCACTTTTAAATAGGGTTTATTTTATCATGTAGGATGTGTGTAGATATTTTGCAGAAGATCTACTTGTTGCGTGTAAGCTTATGAAATAAGATATAGCTTTGTGACTGGCTGTCTCATATACTTGCATGACTTCTGGTCTAGTATATGCCTATGTCCAATTATATCTACTTCTTTTACGCATAATTCTTCTACAGCGTCTCTTTTTATTATGTTCAATCTCCTGTACGATGTGTCCATGCCTATCATTTACATATTCTTTGTACTGTGTCCTCAATACAAGCACAGTTTCCCGATTGCATTATGTTTCTAATTCTTCGTTGGAAGATCTTTCAACACTCTGTTATAATTGCATATTCTACTTGCTACTGGATTTATGTACTTACCAGATAGTCCCCCGTCAACCGCGGGACCCTTCCTTTAATGCGCAAGCTTTCTATCCTCCGCTCGCGGTCCCTCCTCCTGTGACAACAACACCTCCTGGAAGTCACGCTGTATGCAACACAATGGTGTTGGCGGTACAGTAGAAGGGACAACAATCAGGATATGACGGTTATAGGTTTTCGCTTCACTTCCTCATCCTCCACTCCTCTCTCCACTGCCCTCCAGCTGCCACTGCAGCACATGTGGAATGAACGGAAGTGTGCTAAGCAGGTGGTTATATAGGCCCTAAGAGTGTTATCACAACTATCCTACTACAAAACATTGATATCAAATCCTGTAAGCTACCCGATTTGTTAGCGGTTTGTTTATACCATGCAGCTTCCTTCTCACTCACTTCATTTTGCGGAGACACACCCATAACACACAGACTACGCCACACACACACACATAACAGATACACAAAACCGACACACAAAAGTTACGCTTTATATAATAGAAGGATATACGATCTGATGGTGTGTATTCGATTGTATGACTTCTATTCTTAAGCAGTATAATCTTTGAACGGCGTTGAGTTGAATATCTCTGTTGGAAGGGTATCTTCGTTGCAAGACTCCTGCTTTTGAAGCTAACTTCTATCTTGTAGCAATTCTTTTTGACCGCTTTGACATTAACTGCTGTCAAAATGAAAATGAGCCAGTAGGCAAAAATATGAGGTGATCCTGCTTTGTTAATAACTGTTTCGAGGAAAGTCTACTGACCTTGGACAGATTCACTATCTTGTGACTTCTTTTCTTCGTAGAATTTCGACGTAACCTGTAGTATTGCACGGCGTCAAACCATTACTACTTTGGTCATCTCTTCCCTAAAGCTCCTTTGGAAAGTTTATCCTTCGTTTCTTTTTTTGTGTCTTGATTCCTCTGTTATTCTTCTTTTGTAATTTTAAGTAGAGGAAGGATGTTGCCTATAATAGGAAGAGGATGTGTCCACGTGCTAATGTTTCCATGACCTTATGATGTTTATCGTTCAAACCAAACGGATATGGTGTCATTGAGAGTTATTAATCCAAGAATAGTTCCGTCTCAACGTAAACTGCTTTTATCATAGGTTCATACAGCCAAGTATGGTTACAGCTAAACTCGCTTTATCCACATTTAATAAAATGATTGTATACGGGTGTGTGTACTCTTATGTGGTAGAAATAGATTAGTTCAGTGCTGCTCCACTATCTATTCTTTAAGTTTTCTTAATTGGTCATCCCCACCTATTGTTATCCACAGCCGTTGCATGTTAAACAGTATAGTGAACATTTTTTGTGCTACACATTGCATGCTGCTGCTTTAATACTGATTGAGTGTGCAATCCTGTACATGCGATACATGTAATTGTCAATATGGTGATGCGCGCATGTTCTACATTTTTTGTACACTTGCAACGCCCTTAGTGCTTATTTCCGAAATTGTTGAGTACGTAATGCCCGACCCATCCTTACCTTTCTAAAGTTTGTTGTTGTGAAGTAATAAGCTGAGTTTGGACCGGTTCTGTGACAAGACCTAGCGCACGCGCTGGCCACAAACACGTGTGCGGAGGGTGTTTTTCTCGAAGGTTTTGCAGACTGCTGCCCAGGGGATGGCTCTCCCTGCATATAGACTAGCGCTGGAGGCGCCAAAAATTGGCCCCCCTCACCATTTTTGACTTGTGTAACCCCACCAGCGCCAATCCCTAATTTTAATAGGAGGTATGGCCCTCCTTTGCGTATATGTAACTTGTTGTGTAATTAAGTGTTTGGGATTATGTTGTAATGAAAAATGAAAAAGAAAGAAAAGTAAATGAAAAAACGCGCGGGAATACCAAATGAAATGTATTGAGTTGCACTATACTATAATTAGATATGCAGCAAGAACCTGAATAATAGCTTCAAATGGCGATATAAGACTGTTGAATACTATTACTACAAATTGTTTTGAGTAGAGAAGGAAAGAGATGATATGTGAGTGATAGAAACGCCTGTGGGCGCAGAAAAGAACGTCAGTGGACGCAGAATCGCCATCGGCGCAAAAGAACGTCAATTGACGCAAGGGACCAAAGAACCAAATAATCACTACTGGTGCAAGAGGCTACTGCCTCATCGAAAGAGTGAATGATTTCCTTAAGTCTGTAGAATAGAACGCTGGAGGACAATCACAGATGTGGCATTCCTGTGCGCGACAATCCCCATACAGGAGCTCTAGTGCGCGTCCATTGTGTATGCCACCCCCTAATTTTTTCAGTTTTCTGACTTTTTTGGGAATTTCGTAAATCGGCATAGCAACCATCGTTTTCGGCGTGTCGAAAAACAAAGAATGGTATTGTTTGATTTTGGTTAACGCGTTGTTTCAATTGCTCTGTTCTTTTGAAGAAAATGGGCTGCGTCAATTGCATATGCCATCCCAAAGTTTCTTCAGAATTTCTCATGTCTCTAACGCTTTTCAGCTACGGTGTGCATGCAATACAAATGAGAAAATCCTCCACTTATGCAATGCACACAAATGGTGAAGCATTTATAACTGATTAGTTCAGAATATTAGCCCTGATACTGACGGTAGCAGCACGAAAATGCTTTATCAGAGAAAGTGCTGTGTGCTCACACTTGCGATCGCTATTGATGCTTATTGTAGAACTTATCGAGGAGTGTATCCAGGCAAAACTGGGGAAATTTAGGTGCTCAAGTAGCTCTTAAAATTTTCATTTTCCCGCTTTGAATCCGTGGTCAGCTTTATTTGGAGAATATGAGTTGCACTCACAATCCGCGTAGTACCCATCGCCGAACTTTGTCGGATTCTCTCTGAAAAATTTTTCGTACCGAGCGAACGAAAATGATGACATGGGCCAGTTCTAACTTGAACGGGACACCGAAGTGGTGGCATGGGATATCATTGCATCGCCTTGATAAGAAACTTCGATCGAGTTCAGTTATGGGCACCAGACAGGTGTAGGTACGAGTCATGTGCTCTCTAAAAAGAGACTTTGTGAGCTCTACGCTAAAGATCTCCTACGCGAAAAACAAGACCTTACCGTAGAGGACCTCCCATCCAAAAGTCGGATTCCGGAATCAAGCGAGAACCTATGCTTACTCTAATTCATCCCCTACTCCAAGCTCGGATCGTAACCAATCCAAGCATATGGCAAACTCTGAACTAGATTCCAGCTCAGAAGAGCTCGAGTACTGCTGTTAGCGTTATTACAGTTAATACAAAAGCTATTATAACTCATACATCAAACATAAAACAGAGGCCCAGTGAGGACAAATTAAACAAAATGCTTAGTCCACCGCAACTCATGGTAGTTCAAGCACTGACGGTAAACAAAAACACTAAGTCTAAGCAAGCCATCACAGTTCTTCTTGACAGTGGTTCTCAACACAGCTACATCAGGAGAGAGACTGCGGCAAACTTAGGCTTGAAACTTGAGAATCCGCAAAATATCACAGCCTTAACATTTGGAGGTCATCCACATACGCAAAAGTCGTATCGGGCTAAAATTATACTCCACAACAAAAAGAGTGGCCAACGAAACTCCACTTATGGACGCGTAAGGTAATCACTTCCTTGGAGATAAGTAAGAGCAGCAACAAGCTCGGCAACAACCACAAAGGTAAGACGACGTGGAAGTCGACTCTCATACATGGATTACTATTGAGATGTAGTCCACTTCAACTCGAGCAGTCAACTACCGAGTGGCCTGGTCGAGTCGGAAACAACGCTCGGACCAGTTTTGTCGGGATGCCAGTCTTCTACTTCATCCAAAACGTGTACGGTTTCGGAGGCTAGCCCGGAAGAAGAGAATCAGTCCCACGAGACTGATCGCATAGTGCAACACCTCTTCGGTCTAGAATCCCTCGAAACTAAAGATGAAGCAGATGAGACCAATGAGAGTATAATTCAACACTTCTATAATACAATTCAAGTCAAAGATGTTCTAATACATGTTCAATTTTCGTGGAAAGCCAATCACCCGCCCCTGGCTGACAACAAAGCTCTTGCAGACAGGAGATTACAAAATCAGTTCAATAAGCTCCACCTTAATACAGAAGTATGGAAGAAATACTGCAAGATCTTCAATCAGTAACTTCAGTCGGGGATAATACAAGATGCTGACGAGAGCTCAGCTCCCGGCAAATGGGTGTACTACATTCCACATCAAGCGGTATGCAGAGCGGACAGTCATACTACAAAGTTGCGTATCGTGTTCGACGCGTCCAGCCATATGAAAGGTGTACCCAGCCTTAACGACTGTGTACATCAAGGCCCAACACTATTGCCAGACCTCTGCGGCACATTATTTAGGGCACGTCTGAACCGATACTCATCATAGCAGACGTGGAAAAAGCCTCACCAAATCAGACTACAGGAAGACCAGAGGGATGCAACGCGCTTCCTTTGGCTCAAGGATCCTTCGAAGTACCCTACAAAGGACAACATCCGAATCCTTCGCTTCACCCGTATTCCATTTAGTGTTAACGCTTCTCCATTTCTGATTAGCATGTCCATAAAGTACGCACTGAAAAAGGAGGGGAAGGACCAGCTTCGGGAGGAAATTCTTGCCAACACCTACGTAGATAACGTTATAATAGGCGCCAAAGCGGTGGACGAAGGTCTTCGTAAAAGAACACGGTGCAAGGACACTTTCTCCCGAATGGGCATGAATCTCCGTGAATTCATGCCCAACTGTAACAAGGTGCTGGAATCCACTCCCTTCGAGGACAGAATGAAACAAACGGGTAATACGGTGAAACTTTTGGGACTGCGATGGGATACTTCAAAAGACTATCTCAATACCTATTCAGACAGTAAATAAGCAAGTTAATACAAAAGGTAGTGCATTAAAAGTATTTGCATCCACGTTTGATCCACTAGGTCTGTTAACACCCTTGTTCATCAGAGCGAAGATGTTCATACAAGACCTCTGGATCAATAAGTATTCATGGGACGATCCCTTCGACGACAGTACATCGGAGAAGTGGAGATATATTACGGAGGATATTAAGGGTTTCGTGGGAAACGTACCTAGGTTCATCGCTTCCACAGGAGAAACCAAGAACGACTTGGTCATTTTCTCAAATGTCTCACAAAGGGTCTACGAAGTGGTTGCATAACTCGTATGCAGACCGGTGAAAGGTACAACCTTCAGAAATTTAATATTCGCCAAGGCAAAGTATATTCGCCAAGGCAAAGTTGGCAGTGATGAAGAAAACGTCTATAGCCCAAGACTGAAACTCTTAGGTTCCGTCTTGGCGGCGAAGTTAGTCCGTTTCCTTCGAAAACAAATCAATATCCCACTTAGTTCAGTACAGCTCCTATCAGACTCTCAGATAGCTTTTTATTGGATACACTCCAATAAACAGCGTAAAACTTTCGTCAACGATAGGGTAAAGTACATCAAGGAAGTAATACAAGAACTATCAGATGCCAAAAAACCCCATAAATTCCACTACCTTAATACAGATTCTAATCCAGCAGATTGCGCGACCAGAGGACTATCAGCCTCTGAACTAGCGAATCATATGTGGTGGCATGGCCCTATTCATACTTAGTTCAACCAATAAATGAACTAATACAAGTATGGATTTTAGTTCAAGGGCTTCTCCACCAAAAGAAGCTCAAGAAGGGTTCAGATCTACGATCAATAAATCATTAGATACTTACAAGTCATTTATTCCATTCACTAGAACTAATTCACGTAAGAAACTAGTTCGTATAGCTTCCTATGTCCTTAAGTATGTGGCTATCCACTGGCGAAGGACCAAGAAAAGCAGTTCGAGCAAAGATACCAGCTTTAGGATCCTCCACTTGATGTCAGAAACGCAAACCATCACAGCAAGCAATATGAAAGCAGAAGAAATCCTACTACTCCGCGAACATAATCCCAAAGAAGTGATCGAGCTGCAAGGCCACGTAGTTCAACGTCTCCGGATATCACTGGGCGAAGACGGCATCTACCGTGGAGACCTGCGAATGGCGAACGCAGAGATTGCGGACTCTGCGAAGACTCCTATCCTGCTTTTGCCAAAACATCAACTCACCAGGTTAATCGTCACAGACCTCCACGAAAGCTATTTCATGCCGGAACCTCCCACTTGATATCTGAGCTTAGAAATCACTACCTTGGGTGGTGGGGCCCGCTCCTCCAAGTGGTGCCACTGGGAACTGCTCACTTTTGTGGGCTGAGCTGATCGCGGACATTCGAATGCAGGCGACAGGCCCCCGTGACAGGTCGGCCTACGAATATCCACGTCATCTTCATGGTTAATGACGTCATGTGATTCCCGAGATAAAGCTACGGCGTCCGCGGGAGCCGACGCGCACTCGCAAAGCCCGGCGAGTGTGAAAATATGCGAGGGTCTCCGACGCAAGGACGGCGTCGAGGGGCAACTAAGCTAGTCCACAAGTCCTGCAACGCATGGAAGGTTCGCGTTGCGACGTTAAATCTTGACGGGCCGCTCGTACGGAGTTAGCAGAAGCTCTAGAGCGCCGACGGATTGATTTCTGTGCCGTGCAGGAAACGAGGTGGTCCCGCTGCAGATCGAGAGATATTGGACGCGGCTTTAAAGCCGTTCTTTGTGGCGGTACTAGAACGACCAGAGGGGTCGGAGTAGTTGTTTCTGACCGCTTAGGTGACTTGATCGTAAGCGTTGATCGTTATGACGACCGTCTAATGAAGATTGTTGTCGTTATCGAACGTAAGCGATACCACTTTTTTTCTGCATATGCTCCGCAGACTGGCTGCTCTGAGCAAGCCAAGGACGAGTTCTGGACCTTTCTGGATGAAAAGACCGCAAATGTACCGTCAGAAGAGGCTGTCATTGTCGCAGGTGACTAACAATCACGTCGGCACTGCGAAAGACGGGTACAACTGTCATGGTGGATTTGGATATGGGTCACATAGCAACGATGGCGAACGTATTCTTGAGTACGCAAATTCGCACGATCTCACCATCGTGAATACAAATTTCCGGAAGCGTGATTCTCACCACATCACCTTCTATAGCGGTACTAACAGAGCGCAAATCGACTATGTCCTCGTCAGGCAACAGGATCGAGGGCTCGTAACAGACGCAAAGGCGGTGCCGTATGAGACTGTCACCACGCAACATCGACCGCTGATTTTCACGCTGAAGATCGCTCCTCCGAAATTGAAACAAATCGAGCTTTGTGGACCAGCGAGAATCAAGTGGTGGCGTTTAAAAGAGAAGGAGGCGGTCGTGATATCCAACATTCAGTTGCCGCCAGTCACTACTGTTGATGAAACTTGGAAAAGGGCCGAGGCGATAATCCGTTCTGCCCGTTCCCAACTCGGCACTACAAAACCTGGACGACGGAAGATCGACAAGCAAGCGTGGCTATGGACGGGCGATGTTAAAGAGAAAATACGATATTGCCAATCCGAGGACATCGAGAAGTTTTTCGGCGTCAACGACGAAAATGGTAACCTCCTGACGGACCGGAAGGAAGCAGTGAAGCGATGGCATGATTATTTCGAGAACATCGCCGTAGAATTTGCCCATCCAGCAGTCCCTTATGTCCCGCCAGTGCAAGGTCCTGTGCAGAGAATAACCGTGGCGGAAACAGAAAGGGCTCTGAAGAAGATGTCAGGAAGTCAGGAAAGGCTACAGGTCCCGACGATTTGGCTGACATATGGAAGTCAAAATGCTGGTGTCCTACCGAATGGTTGACCAAGTTCTTCAACCAGATCGTAGCAGAAAGAAGGGTGCCTGAGAGTTGACAGCAAAGCACAACGATTCCGATCTGGAAGAAGAAAGGCAGTCCTGCTGACTGTACGAGCTACCGTCCAATCCGCCTGCTCTCGCACAGCATGAAGATCTTCGAGCGCATTTTGGACGGCCGTATCCGTGACATTTTGCAGCTTTCCATTAACCAGTGTGGATTTGTGTCAGGCTGCGGCACCATCGATGCAATACACGCAGCCCGCCTTCTGCTGGAAAGACATCGCGAGAAAAGAAAAGCTGTGCATCTTGCCTTCCTGGACGTGGAGAAGGCCTTTAATCGCGTTCCTCGAGAAGTCATATGGTATGCTTTACGACAGCACGACGTTCCTGTAGAGCTCATTGAGTGGGTGCGCATACTTTACTCGAACTCAAGGAGTCGGGTGCAAACGATGGCAGGTACTTCGAATGAATTCCCCATCTCAGTCGGTGTGCACCAGGGCTCCGCGCTTTCCCCACTACTATTTATTGTCGTTAAGGATGCCATTTTGCGTGATCTTCAAAAGCCCGCTCCATGGACGCTTCTTTATGCTGATGACGTGATGCTAGCATGTGATGACAAAGATCTGCTCGAGCAACAGGTGCAAACCTGGTCCGACCGTCTGGCTATGTTCGGGCTCAGGCTGAATGTGAAGAAGACAGAATACTTGACCACCGATTTGAGTGAGTCAGGCACAGTTAAGATCAGTGGCACTGAGCTCACACGTACAACATCGTTCAAGTATCTTGGGTCAGCAATTGCGTCCGACGGCAGCCTGATCTCTGAAGTAAACTCCCGGGTGAGTGCAGCTTGGTCCAAGTGGCGCTAGATGACCGGCGTTCTCTGTGATAAGAAATTACCAGAGCGACTGAAATCTAAGATCTACAGAACCGTCGTCCGACCAGTCGCCATTTACGGAGCAGAGGGCTGGCCCGTGACTAAAGAGGTTGAGGCTCGTCTCAGTGTAATGGAGACAAAAATGCTGCGCTGACTGCCGGGGTTACCCGTTTAGACCACATTCGCAACAATACCATCAGAAAGCGGTTCGGTGTGGCTCCCATCGCTGATAAGATGCGCGAAGCTCGCCTGAGGTGGTACGGTCACGTCCTTCGCGCTAATGATGAGAGTGTCCGTAAGATCGGTCTAGACCCTAACGTGTCAGGAAAGCGGCCAAGAGGACGCCCGAAGCAACGATGGCTTGATACGTTGCATGAGGATTTGAAATTAGTTGGCCTCCACTCCGATCAGGCACGTAATCGGGGAAAGTGGCGTCGTAACACCAGGAAAGTGGACCCCGCCACAGGGTGGGACAAACGCTAAAGAATAAGAAGAAGAAATCACTACCTTATTCCAAGGATACGGCGCGTAGTCAATATCGTCATTGGAAGGTGCGTGGTTTGCGAGAAACATCAGGGACGATCCTTCTAGTACCCTCGAATTCCTGACCTGCCTAGCCAGAGAGTAGTGCGAAGTAGGCCATTCCAAAACATTGGTCTGGACGACTTTGGTCCTATCACAGCTCGCCAAGAAACCGGAGAGGACAAGAAGATATGGGTGTGTCTCTTTACGTGCATGGCCACACGCGCCTTGCACTTGGAAGTTGTAGCCGACAACTCATCCCCACAATTTCTCCTGGCCTTAAGAAGGTTTATGGCACGTAGAGGAACTCCGGCACTTTTCCAGAGTGACAAAGCGCCCACTTTCAAACTAGGTAGAGAAATTCTGATCAACGAGCTACGCTCCCTAAAAGAAGACCGCGTAGTTCAATACTTCACTAGTTCAGAAAACCTCGAGTGGAAGTTCATAACCCCACTTTCTCCGTGGAAAGGTGGCTTTTACGAGAGGCTCGTGAGCTCAGTAAAGTCATCCCTCAAGAAGGCAATTCATCGGCGAACATTGGACATATAGAGCTTACAAACTACTATTTCAGTGATTGAATCTACTCTTAATACAGGACCAATTACTCCAGTTACTACAAGTTCACTAGATAATACATTTGTACTAAGACCAATTGATCTCATCAACCCCTATTTCACACCTCCATGCAAAGAGTCATTTAATTTAACTAAACTACAGCCAAGGGTCTTCGATTCGCACGAAGAAATCAATAGTTCATACGTACTACTACAGGAATTTCTTGATACATTCTGGGATCACTGGCACAAGGAGTATCTGCAAAACCTCGCCAAACGAAATCAAAAAAAAATTTCTTCAAAGCAAGTTGCAAAGGATAGTCCAAATGTCAGTGATGTAGTACTCATTAAAAAAGAGAATACTCCAAGATCCCAATGGCCTCTCGGTCTGATAGTACACATCTTTAGGTCAGCGGATGGATCAGTTCGATCAGTCAAAATCAAGACAGGCAATAATAAATTCCTCGACCGATCCGTTAATCAGCCGATCCCTCTGGAAGTATGCGCGTCGGATGTGCAAAATGTACTACAACCAAAAAAGCAAAGTCAGCCGACTCGCATCCAACCAGAGCGAAAAGCAAAACAAAGATAACGGAGTAATTCAATGGATTCAATACTCATTCAACATTAATTCAAGAACTAATACATACTTACCTGGATTAACATCATTGTACTACATCTTTGGACTGATTCAACTAATACAAGTTTACTTCAATACTCACCCAAACTAATTCAAACCTATCAGCAACCCAATGTACTAACGTATTTTCAACCACTAATCGATTCCTAGAAGTCACTGCTCCTAGTACATCTTCGAGGAGAATCGATAATACAGACCTCAATCAATTAGTTCAAAAATCAATAACACATAAAACAATTACTCCAATGAACTAATACATGAGTGATGACGAAAGGACGCAGTAGATCAATCGCGGAGGATCCCATACGAATTACCGTACCGCGACGCGCCAACGTAGACGTGACGGAATCCGAAAATCTCATTTTCGCACATCGTCAACGTCGCCGTCGCATCCCGTTCTCCGTTTCGTGATTTTTCGTCGATTTGAACGTTTTATTACATTCACATTCGTTTCATCTTATCTACTAGTGCATTTAAAGGCTCCTTGATCGCTGTGGAGCCAGTTACTTTCAAGTCAATGTCGCCACTTCGCTCGATGCTCACGATAGGCAAAAAGGCGACGCCTTTTGAAGCTAACAGCAATACATCTCAGTTCTCATTATTCCTTTGTATTAGCTCATTCCTTCTCACACTAACACTTCTCTGTCTCTGTTTTCATGTAAATCTAGAAAGTTATAAGCAAAATCGTAATTTGTGATTTTGGCAGTCAACACAACATTTAATGCAACTAACTCTCTCACACCATTCCTTTCTCATCACTTCATCACTTCCTCATTACGTGAACATAGTTTACTAGTTCAACTATGATTTAATTCAATCTACACTACAGTAATACAGCTACTGATTCTATTATGAACTACTTCAATTCATTCTACTCCATTTATTCATCAGTAGTTCATACGTATACTACAATGAGCAACCACGTATTACATAATTCATAGTACACTCATTTTCGAATCGGTAGTACATATCTCGATTCATAATTCATTCAAAACGAGTGATGAGTAAATCAGTAATTCATTAATACATCCGTACTAACTCATAACGAACTTGTTCTTCTCTACTAACACGTTCTTTATGAACTATCATTCCTAAACTACTAAAATTCTACTCACCACACTTTGACAATAACATTATGTTTGTAATGTTTTCTTTATTTATTCTCAGTCACTAACGACTAACCCAATTAGGTCAAAATGTACTAACAGCCGCGTTTATCGTGCAATTAACCTCTGCGACCCCAATTGACTCATTCCTTATAGAACTTGGTTAACGTTCGTGTGTTCTGACGTTTTATTGCGATCATGAGTTCACCTGGCAGGAATCCGGACAAGGATGCGCCGAGTGTTCCGCGTGGTTGGAGTCGTAGAAGAGCGGTTAGAGGTAGGTTTGCTTACGGTAATTCTAATACAAGGCTATCTACTCCTCAGTCAGTTCAATCCATTCGTATTTCTCCTGCTCAGCCACGTAATACAGTTAGTTCACAACCTTCCTCTTCACGCACCCAGCGTAACAGGGGGTCTAGTAGTTCATCACCTTTCGTGGAACCCCAATTAGGTAGTTCATGGCTCAAAAGGTGCAGGCAGAGACTACTCCACCTCCATCGCAGCCAGCGGTCGATACGGCAGCGAAGGATAAGAGAGAACAAAAGAGGTTGGAAGCAGAGATTTCAACCGGGATAGAAAATTTCAGCGTCGAAAAGAAGAAGGCCACCGAAGAAGCGATGGATACATCGGAAGTAGTTCAAGAAAGGAGATCACTAGTTCATGATGTTAACCCAAGCGAGTGGGAACCCACGAAAGCCAATGAAGCCCCAACAGGCCCACTGGAAGTTAAGTGGGACACGATGGTCGCTGCAGGAACAACTATGATGAAGAAGAAGGAGGAAAAGGAGAAGGCGCTGAAGGGAAGAAAAGAAAGAATGGAAGCATAGTTTATTTTCTAGAGGAATACGACAGAAGAAGGCCTTATACTACTCAACCGCATGGGCCGTTGAGAGTCAATCCGGCACCTACTTCATCAATGAAAAAGCCATATGTTACTTCATATAGTTCACTAGAGGTAGAGCCGTACACTGTAGAAGAATTGACAGCTCGTCAATTCCGAACAATATTCGACTATATTACTACAAATAATGTTTTACGGGACCGCGTTCGTGCTATCACTATCCCAGACAAAGAGACGACACCAGCGCGTCCCGCAGACTACGTGTTAGTCGCACATGTAGTTCATATACTTCAAATCCTACTCGAAATAGTTCAGCATACTACACAGTCGTTTAACAACCTTGCAGTGATCCTCGTCGGACGCCAGCCCAGCCTCTCGAGATCAGGTTTACTCATTTCATGGGTTGGATAGACGAACTGATGCACAGCATCACCGCGATCACAGTCAATCGCGAATTCAAGAATTGATGCTGCCACGACTGTTTAGCTGGTCTCACTTCGACTATTTCAGAGCCACTCTTCAGTTGTTCAATATTACAGAAGATACATTTACGGAAGTACTTCAGCATAGTTCAGCTGTATCCGCTCACGCGACTCGCATGATCAGAGTTATGGAAGCTTACCAAATTGTCCTTTTCCTTAACAGAAGGAGAGTGCGAGTCACGCAAGAGGCCGAAGAATATCGACTCAATTCACAGATGCACATGCCACCTCCTCGGCCGGAGGAACCGGAGTCGTACATTCAAACCCTCCGTTTGTGGCGCTACAATTATTTAGATGCGCTCATGATCAAAGCCACGGACGAGTACTTGCAGATCTCGTCAATGGATAGACGTCTGCAAGCAGCAAGCAAGCCCGGGGCCGGGAGCGCCAAATAGTTCAACGTCCAGTACAGCCTTTAAGGTTGATAGAGGTACCAAGGCTGGAACCATATACTATATGGCCAATGGATAATCCAATATTGCCTTCGTGTGTGCCCCCAGGCTGGACAACGGTCCACCTTTAGTTCAAGGCCCGGCCACGAGAATACTACATTGGGCAAGAGAAGGACTAATACAGATAACACAGGTCGCGACGTGGAACCTCCAAGATCCAGATCACGTCTTAGTTCAGAATATCGTTCACCCAGTCGTAGTTCATCAAGAAGGCCACCGGAACGCGCACCAGCTTCACATTGTTCCCGATCAGCTCACCCAAGGCGTACGGCGCCTTCGGAATCGCATGAAAGAGTGGAGCCTCGTGTTTTCTGTCTCAAAGACGGTCATTATAGCTCAGATTGTGATTACCTCTGCGATAGAGCTCATCTGGCCGCCAGGGACGGTATTTGTAGCAATTGCCTTAAGTCTCACTTCGGGATATGTATCCGCAAAGATCCTTACGCTACGAGGAGGGACACCAAAGGACATTTTGTGTCCAAAGCTCCTTTGCCATCTACGACGTAGATGCGAGCCCTGAGGAGTTCTATGATCAACTCAGGGTTTAGACCTACCGTCAACCGGGGAACGGTCAACAGAATCGATGGCTCGTCGCGCCACCGCGTGTGGCCAATCGTGCGGCAAAGGGGCGGGGCCTTCAGGACGAGTGTAGTCTATATCGACTTCTGAGTAGGATGGCGATCTTCATACTCCCTCTTTGGGACTAGCAGGATGTAACGGTCAACAGAATCGACGGCTCTTCGCGCCACCGCGTGCGGCCAATCGTGCGGCAAAGGGGCGGGGCCTTCAGGACGAGTGTGGTCTATATCGACTTCTGAGTAGGATGGCGATCTTCATACCCCTCTTTGTGACTAGTAGGATGTTTTACAGCGTGAAACTTAAAGTGGGTAGACTTACTCCTCCAAACTATGATGACCGTGCCTTTCTAAAATACACTGTTCATCATTTTAACCACCTGTGATTCAATATTGTTTGTTCATTGGTAATTCCAGAACTTAAGAACTGGAAATCTTAATAACAAACTCAAATGAAATCTTAAATGAATTCTTCTCTCTGGACATTTCTGTTGCTTGTCCGAGAAATAAAGATCTTGTGCGACCTGATGCTAAAGACAAGAGCCTGAGGCGACGCCGCCAGCACCATCCGTGTAATTGGTCATATCTGGAGAAAACAATGGTTACAGAACCTGTCCCAAGGTACTTTGCCGTGATGACTGCAACACTATGATGACTCGAAACAATTCTTCCAATAGTCAACTATTATATATTCGCAGGAATAAGACCTAAAACTAGCTATTGCTTGCTATCATATGGTGCGGCTATCATATGGTTGATTACAACATTATCTAAAACATCCTTTTTGTTTGAACGAACCCAGAGTGAACGATTCATCCCGAACAACTTTTTTATGACCTTTTGAAATTCCAGCGTGTTGAGAGCATGTAAGAGCTGAATCACGGTGGCGCATTCGAAGCAAATACCTCAATAGTTTGGCCTACAGCAAAAGGAGGAAGTCGGAACTTTGACTCTCAAATCTTTTATACATCAGAATAATTCAAGTTATTTGTCCAGGAAACACACCTAGTCAAAGCAAAGATAGGATGACCTTACTGGTCGTCGTAAATCTTTATTTTGTTCGCTACCACACTGTTCTCATAGAGAAAATTTGTTTTGTAAAATAATGGCGCTGTTTAGAGACACTGTGAGTGAAACTTAGTAGTAGTGTAGACAAATTATATTCATGTTTTGATCACAAAGCCTAAAAAGCTACATGCTTATCATAGATTTAGATAAGGAACAACTACAATATTAAGGTAGCTAATGAAAGTGACTGGATCTTTGCTCCGAAGTAGAACACGTAGGGTTCAACAATTAGAAATTCCGCTAAACAGTCATTCACAATCACAGTCATCGGAATCCTCAGAAAGTCACACGCCATAAGTACATCCGACATCTGGCAATGGACACGCCCACCCGCCGCGCCGTCATGGCCACGCCTACTGGCGCGGCGATCCCATCGATTCTGTTGACACGGAGCCCCGTCAGCCACCAAGGGGTGCTATCCCGCGTCG